TCCATGATGAGTTTCCACCCTGTGGGCGCCCAAGGCAGTTGACATACGTGACCTCGCCTTGCCATCTAAGTGCTCCTTGATGCGTACGCATATCCTAAAGGCGTTTGTGGTTTTGGGACCAACCCAGAGAACGGCTTCGAAGCTGTGGATTATGTCTTCGATTTGTTGCAGAACAAACTCGTTTCAATTCGCAATCAATTCGTCGACGCTCTAGAGATTCTCCTAGCTCGTACGAGTGTCCCGTTAACGTGTGAATATTGAGAGTGTAACGCGAGTCTTGCATACGCTGCGAGAATTTTGAACTACCCTAGTTGCTCTGCAATGTCGTCCTAGCACCTGGCACAGGGTCGATCACACGTCATCCTTCTTGTTGCGTGGCCTATTCTTCTTGCACAGGGTTTTCTTATCTTTCGCTCAGATTGTCTACAAATCCACCACTGTGATTGTGATGAGTCTGCCGGCGGAGCGGAAGGTTAACTCTACATGAAGGCAGAAAAAATTGGATGAAATGTATGAAATATAATACTATAAATACAAATCAACAAGCTTTGAGCCATTTTAGGCCTTTGAAAACGACGAGTCCGTCGAAACGTTTGGCCAGAATAAAGATTCCCACCTAACAACCTCGAGGCAGAAGCGAAATTAGCACTTTAAAGTACAACAGAAATGCCGAGGTTTCAAGATGAGAGAGCTTGGAATTTAGATGAGATAATTACACTGGTGTGCAAATTTTAGGGACAAGATGGATAATGATGATGGTGATAAAACATCGAGGACTGGCTTTAAATAAATGAAAGTGTGAGAGTATATTGCCAGGCCTATGACAGTTATGCACAGGGAGCTGGACTTCCCTCCGTGAACGAATAGTTCAAATAAAGCAAGAAATATGGCTGCTCGCACAAATCGAAGCAGTTGATAGGTACGAAAAAATTTTTTCTGTGAATCAGCCCGAAGCTACCAAATACTGTGGTGGTATCCTTATATACATCATGTCCCGCAGACATCGTCTGGATGACCTGGCACGAGGAAGGGTCATCGGGAAGCAGGAAAAAGGTCGAGTCATGCAGAGTGTAGCTCAGGAGCCTATTATCACTCGCATCGTTGTTTCACATGCACGGAAAGCATTCCAATCACCGATACCGCTGCACGAAGGAGAGGAGGGGTCGACCAAGATCAACTACATAAAGTATGACCGCTTCGTTGTGCAGCAGGCAAGAAGAGATCCACGTTAATCATCTTCTGTGATTGCAATGACTTCCAACAGGACTTCGAGGCAGGCCATCTCGCGCACTACAAAGGCACGACGACTGCTCGGTGGCGGTTTATTCTCCCGATAACCGCTACTTTGTGTTACTTTGATCTTCGTGCATCGGCGAGACTGTTTAGGGTGGTGTCAGGAGCATAGCGAATGGAATGGTAAGAAATGGAGTCGTGTGCTCTTCACGGATGAGAGCAGAATCAATGTGAGTCATGATTCTGAACTCACTCTCGTATGGCGAGAGGTAGAAACACGCAACTCCTTTAGAAACTGTCAGATGTGAACGTTCTGGTGGTCGAGGTGTATTGCTATGGGGAGACATCATGCTGCATAACCGTACTGACCTCCATACTCTTGACCGTGGAACCCTTACCAGTCAGTGATACTGTGACGAGGTACTCCTTCCTCATGTGCGTCTTTTGATAGCTGCAATGAGCACTGGATTCATTTTTATGGATGACAGTGCGCGACCGTATCGGACAGCACATGAGGAGGAGCTCCTGGCACAAGAGCATATTCGGCGAATGGAGCGGTCTGGCCGTTCCCCCGACCCAAATTCCATGGTACACGTGTGGGATACACTGAGTAGGCGCGTTCCAGCACGTCCAAATGTACCAGTGACCATCCAACGATTGTCAATTGTGCTGATTGAGGAGTGGAATGCCTTCTGCAGAGCATTTATTGCTGTCCGTGGTGATCACACACCCTATTAGGAAACTCGTCGCTTCATTTGAAGTACTAGCATAAAACATAAAGAACTATGTGTAAACGAAATTTGTGAACAGAAATGTCTTATCTGCTCGTCTCATTTCGATTTTTTGTCAGTTGCTTCCTGTGCAACACCGTAATGGTCCTGTATCGGTATGGTATGAGTTTCATCGAGCCCTGTCGTCCGGCAGAGGTACACTAATCGAAAGTTGCTTTCGTCCCTAAGTTTTGCATACCAGTGTAGAAGGCAGTTCTCGAATACTCTTTGAGTCGCAATCATCATATTGATATCTTGCCTAGATGGCCTTACTGAAAACAAAAGCAGCTTTTTGGATTCAAGCCAGAAATCAGAAAATGAATTAGAAAAAGGGTTGTCCACAACTACAAACCTGAGCTCAGGTCTTACATATAAGTTGAGTCACTCATTAGTAACATGAGAATTAGTTTTTGTTATTCATTATACGCGATCATCATTCAAAAAGCGCTGCTTTTCATGTTGTATGCTCTGGCAGTACCCACAATGAGCAAACTTTTATAGATCACGTGTTCTGCTCGGCCTCGAAATTCGGTAAAATCGACGTCCAGGAGGGTTGTAAAAATTTGATGCTAATGCTAAATATAAGGCCGAAGAAAAGAGAATCCGTCAGTTATCGAAGATTATTATGGAACCGACTAGGTGTTCGAGTATGATCACTAGCGTGCATTAGTCTCATCCGTCCAGCGAGCGCTGCTTTTAAAGTGCAAGCTTCTAAGTACAGTTAAAAGTGAAGCAGTGACACCTTAATATCTTCCTGAAAAGGGCATGCTCACGATAAGGTCCATCTCTTTAATGCATCTTCTGTGAAACAATATACCCGGACAAAATCATGTCAAATGTCTCTACCATTACATCTTTTCAGTGCTCAAATATCATCTTCGTTTGATGCTGTGGGAATCATATCACGAACTCATCAACGAGTTGAATCTCCCTGGCAAATCTTTTCTACTGAAAAATCCATAAAGGGCAGTCCTGTAACATATAAGAGACACACAGAGCAGGGATTTCTGGGCTAATGAATTTTCCATATGTCCCGGATATCGCATTACTGGCACCGTCATTTAATTGAGCGCAACTAGCTACTACTTAGCTAAACTTGCATAGCTAAACCTGCATGGGCGATGCGACAAAACATTTTGTAGATGTTGTCAACGGAATTGCGTCCATCAAAAGCGTCCCATCAACTATTCGAGGAAAAATAATTCGACGACACGGAACAGTCCGCTTTAATAAAATTTGGCAGTGGGAGTATTCTGGGTGAAAGTGAAGGAATAATAACCTCAAATGCTATTATACTGTGGTCAGGCGCTGCAAAAGGCATGATTACCGAGACGATCTTAACAATAGGAGCATTGGATAGCATTATGTCTAGAGTAGACTCTTAAGATATGGGTATTTTGACATGCTAAATAAAGCCACAGCATTGAAAGAATTCCAAAATTTTAAGGCGGTCGTACTCTCAGCTCGGTTTCTCATCCAGTCCATGTCAATGTTGAGGTCTCTCAGAACAATCAAGAACTCGTTGAAACTGCAATAATCAAACAAAGCATCAATTAGATTATTGCCATCTTCTAAAAAGGAACAAGGTGGTCAGTAAATCATTAAGCTCCTAAACATCGCAGCGGAAGACCTATCGAAAACATCAAGACAGGGAAGTTCAGAGTTGAGGAGGCAGGTAGGTAACAGTAGTGAGGGTGAAAAAAATTCTAGCTATGCAACAGACTCTGCTCCTTATTTCTTTATGATCAAGTCGAAAAGTGATGTAGGGGCATTTTCCAGTGGGTTCAAAGTTCAAATAATCGTACCGAGCAAAGTAATAATGTGCAACGGTGGCGCAGGTGGTAGGAAGGTAGACTGCTAGAAATGTTATCAAGGTCCGAACCCATGATGCATGTGCACGCCTTGCTTTCCCATGCAATGTGCGTGTAAAACGTTTTTGGGCTCATTATTGGTCATCTACGTAGCTCCTTATGTTTAAAAAGCACCGGAAAAGGGATACAAACATGTTTCTCTGGCTATCCACCGACCGAATAAAGCAGGATCTTCATTTCGGTGGGAGAGCCTTTCTAAACACCTGCTCGAAGTGAGCTTTAGAGGCTCTCGAAGTGAGCTTCAGAAGGAGGTGCCAAATGACTAAACGGATCAAACGCATTTCAGCATGTTACCAGCGGAATAGCTTGTTGAAGGTGATGTCATCGTGATTGTTGGAGTTTACGAGGACATAGAGTTTTTGAAGTGGAGCGTAACCCCCAACTTTATGATCTGGCCCATGTTCAAATTTTATGGCGAAGATAGAAGAGTCCATAGCCTCCTATAGTTCACGTGTCAAAAGAGGCAGCAATCCACGTGCATGAAGAAGCTTTGTATCAACACGACCGAGTGCCATCTACGGAAATTGAGAGAAAGTGATGGAAACCGTGAGCTTTTGATTTAGTCAATTTCAACAAATTATGATGTCTTACGTGGTTGTACTTATCAGATGGAAGACGAGCTGACGGTTCGTTGGTCTATAGAGCCGATAAGTTGCAAGGATGAGTTATCATGAAATAAATACAAGTCTTCCATTGCACGACAGTAATTTTAACTCGATGGTCTCTAAAATTAGCAACGCAACCCTCAAAGAGGCCAACTTCAAGGCAAGTCGTAGGTGGGTTCAAGGTTTCGAGCCTGGCGACGATATCATGTCCTACTGCATCACCCAAGAAGCTCAAAAAAGGGTTTCTGACATTTAGTGGACTATCATATGTGCAAATAATCAGGTCAGCTATCGTTCTACAGTGTCACCTCACCTGTCACCTGTCGTCCCGTTGATCATCGACTTCCTCGAGCGGGCGCCAGTAACATCTCCATTCGTCCCTGTCACGAGCCAGAGTGGTCCAGTGAATCGTCCCCGCTTTAGGGACACGGAGTTCAACATGGCTTTCGTTTAGAGCTTTCGTGAAAAAGTCTGACCATCTCGTTGGCGGCCTTCCTGCAGTTCGTTTGACGTCTCGAGGGATCCGGTCAGTTACCGCCCTGGTCCAACGGCCATCACTATATCGCATAACGTGTCCGGCCCACCTGATCTTCGATTTCCTGCCGTAATCGATGGCATTCCTGATGTTCGCTCGTTGACGGAGCTCGGAACTCCGGATTCCCTTCTGCACTTGCGTGTATAGGCAAATTCCGAGCATCGTCCTTTCGAAAGCGCGTTGAGTAACGCTGGCAGCATGCTCATCCTGCTTTTGTAGAGTCCAAGTCTCCGAGGCGTACGTCAAAGCAGGAAGGACAACAGCGTCGAAAAGGTGAGCGCGGAGCGGGATGTTCTTTGACTTCTTCACTACTAGCTCGATATTCTTAAATGCTCCCAACGCGGCGCGTTTCCTTCTGCATGGCTCTGGAGCTAGGTCGCTCATCATGTTGACTTCCGACCAGGATACACATAGCTAGAGCATACGGAGATATTCGTTCCGTTTAACGTGCAAGGGCACCAGTCCGTTCTTCATTAACATCGTCTTCGTTAGGTTCAGCCCCAAGCCGATCTTTCCACAAGCGCTATCAAATTCGGCCAGCATTTGTTCCGCCTGCTCAATGTTCGGTGTTATGAGCACGATTTCGTCTGCAGAGCGGAGGGGATGAAGGAAGCGGGATATCATGCATCATTTGGAATGGGAAGACTTGGGAGTGAAGGAAGGACCTTTACTCCCAAGTCTTCCCATTCCAAATGACGCATGATATTCTCGAGGGCGGCACTGAAAAGTTTGGGTGAAATAGTATCGCTTTGCCGGATACCTCTCTTCACGTTGGCAATGACTTCCTTGTAGAATGGTGAAATCCTGATCGTGAAGTTGTCGTAGAGCTCACGAAGCATCCTTATATATTGAGTAGGAACACCCTGGTTGCCCGGGGCTTCAATTACCGCTTCTGTCNACGTCGGTCAGGCAAAATCTCCGATTGAAGATGATGTGATTTATGTCATCAAGGAACTGTCCACCAGGTGACTCCCATGTCCATCTTAAATGAGAGGGCTTCTGAATCTGCGAGTTACCATGGATGGTGTGGGTCGTCATGATAAACTCAGACAGCCTTTCACCCTGCTCATTCCATTCCACTCCGTGAGTTCCGATGTGAAGCTCTTCAGCCGTTCTTCTGAGGCCAATCTTGGGGTTAAAATCATCGACGATGACCTTCAAGAAAGTGTGGTCTTTTCTGTAAAGCCTCTCCAGATGCATATAAAACGCTTCCAACTCCTCTTCTTTGTAGCTCGATGTTGGTGCGTAAGCAACGAAGATGGTTAGAGCTGGGGTTGAGCCACATCTTCTTAGTCGCAAACGTCCGATTCTGGTTGTTAAGCTTTCATACGAATTGGTGTTCATGGCCAAGTGCGTATTGAAGAGGCCACCTACGCCGCCGACGCCTCTACTGTCGCATGTTCCAAGGTACAGTTCTTCTCCAGTCACAAATATAGCGTGCAGCGCGCAATGCCTTCTCGTCTCGGTCAGTCGGATGACGTCGTACTTGATCTTCCTAGCTTGCATCATCGGATCTTCTATACAAGCTTCCGATGCAAGCGTCCGTGCGTTAAAAGTATAGATCGCCATCTTAGTCCTTTTCCCTCTGGGCAGCCTGTTTTGGCTCTGAGACTTGAGCAGCCTCTACCGAGCGGTCCTGCCCAACGCTGTCGCATTGAGGGCTCCCTCGGGTTCAGTGAATGAGGCCCATTTCTATTACTGTTTTTGGCGTGTAGATACCCAACGTGCAGCTTGCCAGGATCTGACGTGGGGTAAGGTTGACTCCGGGTGCTTGCCAGGCTATTCCGAAGTTGGAGTGGACGAGGGGCTTTGTTTTTGGAGGCGGCCCCGGATCGCCTCCCAGATACTTCTCAGTCACGCGAGTGCGAGCTTTTCGCCGAGTCGATGGGCAGGATACCAACTGCACCCACAGACTCTCCACACACGTATGCGTGGATCGCCTGCGAGGAACAGAGGTTGTATCGACCCAGCACAGCAGAATCAAGGAGTCCATCCCCTGAATCCACCTGCGTCTCTGAACAAGTACCAGTGACTTTTGGTCGGCGATTAATTCCCCTATCCGCCACCTGGGGACGCCCTACGTAGCCTCGTCACTAACCGGCTGAGGATCCTTCAGGTGAAGAGAACCATCAGTGAAGGAAATCCGTAGATCTTTCCACAGAAAATTCCAAAAATGTCAGTCAGCTTGTACCAACGCTTCGGGAGTGAGAACAGTATCCCGTGAATATGAAGAGGTATTCCCACAAAGGAGGGTTTTTGTCAGATGAGTCACTCGATCGCCCTCCAATGCAAATGCAGGGGGCTGCCGAAAATTCCGGAATGAGTGTTCGTGTTAGTAGGCGTACCCAATTTTTATTGTTATGAAAGCATCCTTCCTTGAATTACCATTTCTACTATTTCCCGTAATCTTAAAATGCAAGGAGCTTATTAGATGGCCAATATTGAGCTCAAAAACGCTTTTTTTGATTCAAAGTTTTTAGGAGGCATTCCCGTGGGAGAAGCAAAACAAGCGCACTCATCAAGAACTTGAACGTCGATTCAATGTTTACCAGTCCAAAATCTTACCAGATGCGCTGGTGCGGCACAGCGATGGCTTTGCCCAGTTCGGCAGTGACTTTGGTACAGTGGTATGGCAAAGGGAGGGACTGGTTCCGTAACGTCTTCCTCGGAATCGGTCAGCGAATTTAGAACATAGCTTCGAAATCAGCGTTCAAACATGCCACGGTATACATCTCATCTCGAATGGCTGTTGCCACTTTAACCAACACCAGGACTTCCGCCAGCGCGATGATCAGACTTTTAACGGAATCCATGAACTTAAGGAATGTTATGCCAAATAGCCTTCCCTTGTTAGAATAGGAGTTGGCTCTGCTCTAAAGATCCTGAAGCGTCCATTCGTCTCTCTATACTTTAGAATCAGAGCGCAAGTTATTCGATGTATGCATGGTTCACAAGCTTCCGTACCGAAGCAACGTGTTTGGTTCCTTCAATCTTTGTGATACACGCATTCTCGAACCAAGGGGGTCTAAACTTGAACTATCTTCCCTAGGCACAGAATTGGTATTATATTGGGTAGTTCCACATCTAGAGCAGCTAGTCTCAACAAAAATGTAACCAAAAAAACATGGACATTCCGGATTCTCTGCGTAAGTTCGAAGCAGCATGGCAGTGGTTTTATATAAGTAATAGCTTTCGTAGTTTCTTGCGTTTGACCTTGTTTTATGGTAGCGCTCGAAAGTTCTTGGCCAGATTCTCTTACAGCCGTATCTGCCAGTCGTTACTTCTTTCTTACAGAATCTAACCATGCGAGATTTCGACATGTGTAGCATAGGAGTATCGTGAGTACTTACAACCTGATCATGTTCCAGATATTCCAAACAGCTTAAACTCAAAAATAGCTAGAAATACAAATATTTATCTTTCTGGGATTCCTCTCCTTTTTGTCTGAAATATACGAGCGCTAAAGCCGAACACAGTGAAGGAGAAAAGGTGCGAGTGACTGCAAACGTCGCTAAGTTTGCTTTTAGCCAATCTACTACTGCAACATATATTAGCTTTGCAGATATTGGCTCTGCAGTTAGATAGTGTTGGATAGGTTTCATATGCTCCAGGTGAACATATCAGAATTTCGCGCAATTTGCTGCACTAAGAAAAAAGTTATGAACGAAAGAGCGTAAGAGCGTTGGGCCAAAGAGTTTTGAGCGCTATTGTATATCCAGCCCTAAAGCCGTACTATTGGGTTGTCCGAGAAGTTCCCGCCGATTTTTGATTCATCTTCGAATGTAAATTCTTAGAAGAATAAACCCATTGATTGAACAATATATCCTCCATTCTGTTCTGTAAGGCTTCGCCATCTTCCTGTAGGTTCCAGTTCCCCTCTTCCATAGAAGGTTCCAGACTTAAAACCGAAAAACCCTTCTAGGTGCTTTTTGCAGACCTCCAGCGGATTGAACCATTTTCCATTCAAGGAACTTTGCAGAAACCCAAACAAGTGGTATTCTGATGGTGCTATGTCTTGACTATATGGGGGTTGTGGCAAGACATCCCACCCGAGCTTTAGCAACTTTTGTCGAGTGGCCAAAAATACGTGTGGTCTGGAGGCACCCTGTAGGAAGATTACGCCCTAACAATTGGCCACTTCGGGTCGCTTTTGGTCCATCACCGCCTCCATAGTTTCTAGCTAACTATAGTACCTTTCCTAAGTCATCTTTTGATTGTGCGACAACAGCTCAATGGTAAGTGATTTTCCTGAAATCCCATCAGCAACTCGGCATAGTCATCCGCACCTAGATTTTGACTTCTGCAGCGGTTTGTGACGGCTCACTAAGGGGCTACACGATCGTTTCAGCTCCTCATTGCTGTACACAATCCGATTTTCGTCCCTCGTGCTCATGCGTTTCAGAAACGGCTCATTTTCATCTCGTTCGAGCAACGAGTCGCGCATGGAGGTGCGGTCCATCGCTTTGCGCTTGCTCTTTTCGCGAGATATCTAAACATCAAGGCGCTTTACAAAACCAAGCGTCTGCAGATGACCATGGATGGTTAGTTTCGAAACAATAAGCCCTTGTCCTACTCCATGAGCAGCGATGTGCCGATTTGCTTCGGTTAACATTTTGAGTTGATCGTTCAAACTGATGATAGTCTCTCAAAGGGTTGTCGGTCTTCGAAGGCAAATTCACTCTGTTTGGATTCCGCAAACTAGTCATGCACTGTGCGGTCCTCTAGGGCATGGTCTACTCAAACGTCATATATCTTTCATGCGGCTTGAGCCCCATTATAGGCCTTGCAGTAGAAGAAATACTTCAGATGTCGAAAATGTGCGCATTGGTTCTCCATTTTCATACGAGTCCTGTACAAAGACACTTCAACAAATGTTGACGGAATCCCAACAGAAATATAGAGGACGACCTACTCTTTCAGAAAACATATAACTTTATTAGGTTGGGTCCTTGACCTTTTGTACAGCGGTTGACAAATCCGGGGTATCAAAAATCGGCGGAAACTTTTCGGACAACCCAATATATACTTTACGTGTTTCTTTTTATATGATTACGTGTCATCTACTCGCATTCCTTGTATCTGTTCGACAAGTTAGGTTTATTCTAGAAGTTTACCATTATCATTTTCATACCACGTTTACCTTAACATTACAATGAACATAATCGTAAACAGCCTTTCCTTCCAGCTCATCCCATAGAAAACAGCTTTTTATGCGTGCGGAAAGGCGCTGACTCTTGTTTGTGATGAAAGCGGGTGCTTGTTTCTGTACATGGAAAGCCACTGTGCGAGAGTAAAATGCGTACTTTTCGTCAGAGAGCGTTTATTCTGAAATCTTTAGAAAATTGAACAGTGCATGCACCCCTAAAATCTTTTGCGCTAATGATGGAGTGGAGTAGTGGTGGAATATATCGATAAAATATAACTAAATTAACAAATAAATATAAATAAAAAAATAAATAATGAATATAACTCCCTGATAGCTTTTAGTCTGCAGAGACTCGATGTCATGACTGGTTACATGTCTATCGTCCCTTGAAACCCAGTGGCAGTGTTGCTGCTGCTGTAATAAGAATTTGGTGGCGGGCTTTGCTGATCTTTCATCCTTCAACAGGGCCCTGAAACAGTGCATGACAAATAAACGTCAGCTTAGGTGATATTTTCTCATGCTGTAATTGATTGAACCCCCAGAGGTAAATAAAAAGCGGGTATCGGAACGCGATTACCTGGGTTCAGGATATTAGGACTGCAAAACTGTATTCCACTAAGTCTGGAAAAATTACTGCTCAATATTGCATTTCTACTTTTCAATGATGTCCGCTTCGAAAAAAAATTCTACTGCTCCTTCTATGTCTGCAAGATCATTTATGGGCATATTCTAATAATTTTCTCTGGGAGCGACTACTACTACGACTACTAGTGTGAAAGTTATGCAATGTTGGTGTTCATGTGCTTCAAACGGAATTTCCTCCTTCGTTTGTGAGCGCAGTCTAAGTTGGACACACTAAATTTGCGGGAAACCTACTCTCTTGTCAACTTCCTGATAACGTTTAGAATGCAGTGACTTGATGTTATGACTAGTTTCTATGAGACGCCGGCGAGTGGAGTCGACTAACTATGTTTTCTTTGTCCTACTCTATACTTGCAGTGGTAAAACATAAAACGTGTAGTGAAGTGGTAAAACTTTTCGTCTTGACCCATTCGAAGGCTCCAGCTTCTTTGCAGGTTTCTTGAGAGTTAGCATTTCAAGGTTCGTACTATTTACGTTGGTTTCGCAATCTTCAAAACGTAAGCGAAAACTTTTCATTTCTGTTGGAAGTGAAAGTCCAGTGCGTCTTCTAGCCATTCAACGTGAAGAGAGATGATGACTGGTGGCACTCCCAGAGTATCCTTTACAAGGTATCATTTCCAAACCTCTTGTGTCCCTCGTTGAGTATGTTTCTCTCACTTTATGAAGATATTAAATTTGCTACTCGTCCAGGCACTTTTATGCTAGCTCGCATAATAAAGCAGCATTTGCTCTTAAACGCTGGCTTTTCCTCCTATGGAAGGTAACCAAGGGTTCGGTATTTGCTTCTTAACGTACACGACAGAGACAGATTTTTTTAAAAAGCCGGAAAATAATATGATCCTGCTTCAACCTTGTGCTCATACCTAGGTAGACCTACCTGGCTTCGATTTTGACTATGACTGCTGAGAGATCCTTAATCAGTATTGTTTTACTATTCTATGTGATCAGCCCTCCATGGAACTCTGTCAAGAGGTACCATCAAATATATTCTCTATATTTTCAGCAGGTTCGTATATTGCTTGATTCCTTTCTTACAAGTGAGCCGCAATGCGCCGGCTGATGACTTTCTTCGAGTTGTTCTTCGAGTAGACAAATTAAGAGGCATGATGATTGATGGCTGATGATAGCGGGTCTGAAACTTTTTCTGTAACACAAACTCAAGATGTACTATAGAATGGAGTAGATCGCCATCAACGGACCCTATT